ACACACACACACACACACACACACACACACACACACACACTTTAATCAATTAAACATCATTGTGTGAAACAAACTCGGCTCAAGTCCTTGAACTGATCAAAGCGACCAACGAATGAGATACAGCTTCTATTGGTGAAGTATCAATACGAACTCAGACTCCTGCTCTTTAGGAGATTGTTCAACTAATTATAATTAATAAAGAGACTTTGAAAACTCCTCCTCTTCTCTTCCACTCCTCCCCCTCAAAGGATTAGAGTCTTTTCATACATGTTTGGACAATGAAATAAATACTTTAGTGGCTCTGTCTGTAATGTACTGCTCTTCTCTGTCGCTGCACCAACTGTGTCAAACCAAACGCAGCGTCACCATCTCAGAGACACACACACACACACACACACACACACACACACACACACCTCTGTTTTCTCTCTATTCTCTTCTTTCGACAATGATTCATTGACAGAAAACCCATCAATGATATGAATATCTTCAATTTATTATCTAGGGTAGCAGATAATAAATAAAGATATAAAAAATCCATCTCAAATATATTGACATGCAGAGCGTGAAGTCACGGCACATGGAACAACCTTTATCACAGTTTTTGCCGTCTCTTCGTGCACGTTGATGTCGCGATGAGGCTATTTAACACTGATGAAGACATTGAGAATGAGGAAGACGATAATGATAAAGATGATGAAGACGAGCAGTACTCACGTCTCGGTCCACAGTGGTAGCGAAGCTCAGAGCCTCTTTCTGGCTGCAGTTGACGGCTTTCTGTAGCGTGTAGATCACCTGTTCATACGTGTGGACTTCATCATTGAACAGCATGCAAAGGTACGAGTCTGACCGCTCCCTGTACACACACATACAGTCCAAACACACAGTACACACAGAGTAAACATAAAGTACACACAAACACAAACAGAGTACATTAACAAATCAGATAAATTCAAGTTTATTTCAAATAATGTGTTATGATATGTCGTAGACTGTGTGTGTTCAGGTGTGTGTCCAGGTGTGTGTTCAGGTGTGTGTCCAGGTGT